GCCCGCCCGCCCAGCCGGCGCAGTGCCGGCAGGGAGGCAGGTCGGCGCTGCATAGTCCGGCACCACACAGAGGCTTGGAAGCAGTGCAGGTGCCGGTGCCATGATGGTCGGCTCAGAGTCCACTCTCGGAGCCGACTCAGCTCTCCGCAAGGGAGGCAAAGGCGGTAGCTGAGACAATGCTGCCTAGGGAGCCTGCACATGCGAAGGCTCCCATGGTCGTTTCGGCTTTGGAGCCATTGAGACAGAGGGACCTGGCTTAGCCGTGCCAGAAGTCCCTGGTCTTTCAGGCTGGCTTCCTTTGGTGTTCAGGGCAGCTGGTAAGGATCTTGTGGGAGAGATCCTGGGCTTTTTCTGAACGCCCGTAATCAGGGAAGAAGCCCTGTGCTTGTAAGGCTGTTGGTCCGGATCAATTTGCTGGGGCTGCAGGGCTCTATCAAAGAGACGCATCCAGAGACATCTCTCTCTGTCTTTCCTGGCCCTTGAGGTAAGTCTGGTGCAGTGGGTACATTTTTGGGGGACATGGGATTCCCCCAGACACCGGATACATTCAGAATGACCATCGGAGGCTGGCATTGCCTCCCAGCAAGAGCTGCATTTCTTAAAGCCGGCAGCTGACATTTTGCCGGTTCCCCTGAGGTCCTCCTAGCTGAGTCTTATCTCTAGGTACAGATAATGTGGTGATAATGTCTCTATTATGTTGTCTTTATCTCCTGTTGCTTCTTTCTTTCTCTGTTTATGGTTTTTCTTTTTTTTTTAAACTATGTACAAAGGAAAGAAGAGAAAACAGCTGAGAAGCGGGAGATAAGAACAAGCAGCTTTTAATCTTACTCTGGTTCAGGTTTTGTTATTCTATGGTTTTTCTTTTTTTTTTTTTTTTTTTAAGAAATGAGGGAAATAAAGGAGGAAGAGAAGTAAGGTATATATACAAGGGGAAAAAACTAGAAATAGTCTAATTTGGTGAAAAGCGCGGTTCCAAGCGTCTTCAGCCTGAGGCGGTGAAGAGGAACTGGCGGGGGGCCGGATCGCACGAGACAGAAAAGAGCGCGAAAACCACAAGCCCGCAGCACATGCGCAGTCCGGCCAAACACTGCTCATGACAAGCTTCCGTCTGCGGCTCCGGGGCAAGCCCAGCACCCATAGTGGAGCACCCGCGGGAACATCCCCAAAGAACTACTCTATATTGTTAGTCAAGTATGTGATAGGAGGGAGTTGCTCTAACTTCAGTGCCCACCTTTTTCCTGTGTGTTGTTGTTACGGTCCAAACCTTCTTGAACGAAGAGAGCTTCTTCTGGCTAGAAGAATTCATATGGTCAGATTTCTTCTGTCATTTGTGTGGTACCAGAGAAGAAGAGTGGCTTCTTTTCTCTGACTTCTTCTAGTGAGGGGATCCTGCCAATCTAGCAGTGCAGTCCTGGGCGGATTAAGTCTGAACCCCGTGTACTGCATGGAAGCATAAAGCAGTTTCTATGAGGTGGTATTGAAATCTGAACCTCCCTAGATTTAAATCCCCTGCAGATAGGACATCTTTACTTAATATGTCTTCCCCTCAAACTCTAAAGAATGGGAGTAAGAATTGCTGACCAGCATAGACTTGTTATACCCAGAAAAGCACAAACACTGGGGACTTAGGCATGCCACAACACAGAACTTGAAAAGCTCAAAAAAAAAAAAAAAAGGCAAAGATTTGCCAAAGCAAGAACACTAACTAAAATTTTGAACAATAATTTATTTTGAAAACATGTAGTAAGAGAAAAAAAATGGTGAGTACACACACTCCAACTATCATGGTTAAAAGGAACAGAGAAGGACTGAGGCAGCTTTCTGCCCTTTGTACCTCAGGCTAACAGTGAAGCTTGCTGAGAGCACATGCACCACCCTGACAGGCAGCAAGATGGGAGGAAAAAAAAAAATACTACTTTGGGTGTACCAGTGCACACACTTGAAATGAAATGAATATGTGCAAGCACTCAAAGAAGAACTTGGATTTTCAATTCTGCTGTAAGAGTACAAAGTTTAATTTACAGTCTTTCAAATCCCACTATTACCTCTTCAAATCTCTCTCTTAGGGTATGTCTACACTACCACCCTAGTTCGAACTAGGGTGGTAATGTAGGCAACCGGAGTTGCAAATGAAGCCCGGGATTTGAATTTCCCGGGCTTCATTTGCATCTTGCCGGGCTCCGCCATTTTTAAATGTCCGCTAGTGCAGACTCCGTGCCGCGCGGCTACACGTGGCACGGACTAGGTAGTTCGGACTAGGCTTCCTATTCCAAACTACCGTTACTCCTCGTTTCACTCCTCGGAATAGGAAGCCTAGTCCGAACTACCTAGTCCGTGCTGCGTATAGCCGCGCGGCACGGTGTCCGCACTAGTGGACATTTAAAAATGGCGGCGCCCGGCAAGATACAAATGAAGCCCGGGAAATTCAAATCCCAGGCTTCATTTGCAACTCCGGTTGCCTACATTACCACCCTAGTTCAAACTAGGGTGGTAGTGTAGACATACCCTTACAGTGGACTCCTTGATTTTTGTAGCCGTTTACACTTTCTATACATTCCTCAGAGTAGATAATGGAAATGCAGAACTGTGAATCAAAGATGGTATAGGTTGGACCTCTGGTCCAACATCCTTGGAACCTGAGTGATTCTGAAGGAGGGGATTTGATGGAACAGGGAGGCCAGGTCTTGGGCTATCCTGGGGCTCCCCTCTTAGCCACCGATCTGGCCAATTCACTGCTACTGTCAGGGCTCCACCCTGGGCTCTACTCCGGGTGGCAGGACTCCCTGACTCCAACCTCTGACAGCTCCACACCCCCAGCCACAGGGGTTCCTTGCTCCTGGCTGCTCCACACTCCCAGCAGCTCCCTGCCCCCCAGTGGCTCCTGCCTCTGATGGCAGCATGCCCCCAGCCACTAGCAGCTCCACATCCCCACCTGAGGGACTCCCAGCAGCCAGGGCTCCTTGCCTCCAGGCTGTGGGACTCATCTCCTAGCTAGCAGGGCTCCCAGCCGCCAAACTGGCTGAGCTCCCAGCCACTGGCAACTTCTGTGGCTAGGGCTCTCTGTTCCAACAACATCCATTGTTATGCTGGACTATGGATGTTGCCAGACCGGAGAGTCCCAGACCACATAGGTTCAACCTGTACTAACTAGTTTACAAGACGCACACACTCACTCATTTGTTGGCATTTGCTTTCCCAAAGCTTTACACACATTTTATTGATGATTCTGCATGATTTTCCATTCACAAAAATCATGACATCTATGTCAGTGGATTCCTCTTTCACACCTTGTCTATTTTTAGAGGAGAGAGGAAAATGTTTAACATAGGCCTGATCTACACTGTCAGGGATGTGAAAAATCCACACTTCTAAGCAGTGTAGACAGAGCAACTTATACAGAATTCTTCTATCAACCGAACTACTGCTTCTTGGGCAGATAGATAATCTATGTCGAAGGACATTTGAAGTGTAGATTAAATGCTTAGTTTCACCAATTGTAACTGCATAGGTAAAGTCTGAAAAAGGCAAAATGTTCTTAGGTGAACTGAAATTTGGCTAGGATGCTAGGATTGGCAATTCTACTTTAGTAGAAAGAACCAGGAATTCTTGGAGGAAGAACTCCAAGAAAAGGTTACATACACACCTACTGCTCAGTCAATACTTTTCAACAAGGTTCAGTAGTCAGGCATTCACTTCTACAGCATAGCTCTGTGGAAGCAAGGCCAGCCTAATTCTTCATCCTGGGTCCAAACAGCCATTTGTGGGGTTCTCCAGGTAGTGGGGGAAAAGAAAGAATTAACTTTTGACTGGAAAGCCTATCCCAAAACAGACTGTTATTCAATGTGGCTAGATTACCTTAAAGAATACTACATTTGTATGATTAGAAACTGATGCCCAAAAAAAACCCAGAAAAATGAAGAGACTGGAATATCCAGATATATGGAAGCTCACTGGATGCACATACAAAGCACTTTGGGAGGTTTACTTTTATTAAGAGAACTGTGAATATCTGTACTTACAGGCCTTCTTCTTTGATTATCTCTAGTAGCACTGTGTGTGTTGTCTTGGACTTGCGTTTCTCATCAACTATAAGATAAAATACAGAGGTAGCCAACCATTAGTGGGGCTTTGTTACTCAAGAAGGGGAATGAACATAAGAGGTGATCTGGCTGGACAGCTGAGGCAGTAAAAACACATCAAAGAGTCTCAAAGGAGAAAGCCCTTGCTCAACAACAGGGCAAGATAGACTTAAAGACAGCAGAGCAGGGGATGAGAACTTAGCAAAGAGGCAAGGCTAACGGAACTAACAAGGGCACTGTGATATGTTCTGGTGAACATCTGATAACTGAGAAGATGTTCAGCCATTTTAGACTGTGATATGCTCAGAGGTCTGAAGACCTGCCCAGCAAACAGATGACCGTGCACAAGGAGCATAAAAACAGTGCAGAATCACACCCAGATGAAAGTGCACCCCATTTCAAGTCCCATGCAGCTACTCCCAAATGCAGCCTGATTTAAGGATAGTAAATATTATTAATTTGGATAATATGGGTTATAGGCTTGCCAATTGAACTAATCAGAAGATAATAAGGTTCTTGTCCCTGAATCAGGCTGAACTGAATATACCAGAGACCTTCGGGGGTTTAACAGGATTTTAACACGGAGACAAAATAACTTTAAACTTTATTAAAATGTATGGAATTTAATTCAAATAGCAATTTGAGCAGCAAAATAAAACAGGGTTACAAATTGAGTAACTAACAAGGGCATATCTTAGATATGTAATCTAAGATACATATGGTATTATTTCTGTAAGCGGTGGTTAATATACTCAGACCCAATCTTGATAACCTAGTGATAAAAGATGAAAGGTGAGCCTTGCCTCTGATACAGCAGTTCAAGTACAGGTTTCTCAATTCTCAGCTGAGAGGTGGCAAAGGCTAATGCTAAAAGCTGATTAAAGCTAACTTTATTTTTCTAACAGTCAGGAAAACTAAGTTTAAAGACAAAGTTTAGAGACTAATTTCAACTCCTAACTACTCCTGTCCTCCTCCTTTCTCTCTCTTTCTCCTTCTCCTAACAAAAACTCCGGGCACCCTGTTTTATAAGCGTAGCAGCCTGGGACCTCCTTCTCTGCCCAAATTTAAATTCCTCACCCACAAACTATTAAGATACAATTATTCCATAGGCTGGGCACATGTAACATGTCTGCACATAGTGATGACATGTACATACATATTCATGATTGTAGATCATTCTAATATAGAAATAATGTATGTTATTTTCATTCTTCTTATGGTATGCATGTTAAATTTGAGGGTATTCTTGGACACCCCATACCATGAAAAGTCATTCCATTTTATCACCATCTATCCAGGTGAAAGGTCCGGAACATAAGCAAATAGTCTTTTGCTGTCTTGGTGAAAGGTCCCAGACAAAAATACTAACTTGCTTTAGCTTAAGATACAGCATACAGCATGTAGTTTCTTGTGTTACATCCAAATTCCTTTGCTGTAAACCAAGGGTCAGCAACCTTTCCGAAGTGGCGTGCCAAGATTTAACTCTCCTCCCTGGGCCAGGCTGCTCTCCGGGGGAGGGGCTCTCTCCACCACGTGCTCTGTGGACCACTTGGATCAATGCAGACCTTTCTACAGACCACCAGTTTCTGATGAAAGCTCACCATTAATTACATAATTACGCCCAAGCCATTTTGCTAGTGCTTCAGCTGAGGAGAATGGTTTAATTTAAATTATTAAACAGATTAAACGTTTTAACTGTCTCATGTTAGTTTATCAAACTTCATTTTAAATAAAGTACAATATAATGTCCAACAGAAAATGTTTCAATGTTTTCTTTATTTATGACAGGGATGGGGAACCTTTTTTAGGTCGGGGGTCCTGACCCACAGAAAAAAATCTGTTGGGGACCACACAAGTGAGAAGCAAAAAAACTCTTCCCAAAACCCCCAACCCTCACTTATGTGGTCCCCAAACTGAGACACCTCACTTTTCTGGCACTCCAGCCCCCACAGGGTGAGGGGGAAGAGACAGGGAGGACTGATGTTCAGAGCTTCCTACAGGCCAGATTTACTTTTCTGGAATTCCAGAGTTGGTGGATTTTGTGGACCCCCTTAGGCTCTGGGATGGGAACAAAAATGAGGAATTCAATGGGCGCGGACATGGCTGCCAGCGAGTGGGATAAGGATGCAGCATCTGGGGTGAAGGATGAAGTGAGGAGGGCAGAATCTGGAAGGGAGTTTGGTGGCAGGAAAGACTGTGGAGTGGGGGTACAAGAGGGAGTTCAGGGGCAGGAGGGGGTTGGTGGAGTAATGCATGGTGGAGAGAATGAGAATGCAACCTAGCTAGATGGGGAAAGAAGCAAAGAAGTGGGGAGTAAAGGAAAGTGCAGCTTCTACGAAGTAAAATTGAATTCTCCCTCACATCTTCCCTCTGTTGCAGCCTAGCTCCCCTCAGCCCCATGATCCCCACCCCAGCCTGATCCCCTGCCCCTTCCCATCCTGCCCCGCATCCTCCTTCACCCACCCTCCTGCCTTCACATCCCTTGGGGAGCAGCACTGGGGCCAGGAGTGGGGGAGAGAGACAGTCTCTTCCCTTCCCAGCCCAGTCCTTTGCCTGCAGGCTGAGGCTCCCGGGCTGGGGCAGGCACAGCTTGAGGCTGTCCAGGCCTGGCTCCAGCTCAGATGGCACAACAGGGTGCTGGAGACTTGGTTCCCTATCCCCCCACACAGCCTGCAGGGAGCAGCATGGCGCAGCCCAGGTCCCAGCACACCACATGTGCGAGCCGCCCAGCCCCACCCCCTCCTGAAGCAGGAGACAGCACCAGGGACACCTGCGTGCACCTCTCCCTGGCTCCACAACAGGTAGCCAGAGCTGGTGCTCCAGCCTGTAGCTGCACGGCTGAGGCTCGAGCCACAGCATGGGCTCCGCACTGCGTGGGGGGGGAAGAGGCAGGGCTGAAATCGCGCTTTGTGTGCCAGTAAAAAAAAAATCCGTTCCTATGCCAGGGACCAGTGATCCTTCTAAAATGTGGGACAACACAGCTTCCCAGGTGATTAATCAGCCCCGCCCAGTCAGAAACTCAAGGCTCAGCGCAGGGAGCTGACTGACTTGGCAGAGTTGATTATTTACCTGGGAAGCTATAGTGCCACGCAGCTTAGAGGGAACACTGTTTCTAGCCCCTGCTATAAACTATAATAAAACAAATCATTAGACCATAAGAAAGTATATAGATGTCTATAGGCAAGCAAGCAAGCTTGCCCTATAGGCTACATAAAAGCCCCCAGGACATGGAATCAGAAAGACGTGAGCCAGAGTCTAGGATGCTGGTGTTTAGACACTTACCCTGTAGTCGAAGTCTAGCTGTATCCAAAGGAAAAAACACTGTCATTGCAGTCATGCTGCCCTGAAAAATGTTAAACATTTAAAATTATTAGCAAATCTTCATATATCTGTCTGTAATGAGTTACATACACAATTACAAGTTTCTTAGAAAAAAAAATACTCCTCAGAATTAAGAATTCCACTATATACTTTGTTAAAATCTGCTTTCCAATCCCTGTTTGTTAACCCCTGTAAATTTGCACTCAACATCAAACATTTTCTGAATAAGGTAAAGAGTAATATGCACATAAAAATTAAACAGATATCAATGACAACTTGAAACTTTTGGTCACAGGATTAGAGAAAAGGCTTTCAAATGTGATTAAACAAACTGAAAATAAATTGAAATGATTGCAAAGCTCTCCTTTAGCATAAATCTTTAGAAGTCTGATATCATTAAGCAGATAGAAGAGCACTAGTTTGCTTTTCCATTCTCACTTCTACCCCAACTATATCAATCTAATAAAGGTTATGCTGGGAGAAAGGATGTCAGAATGACATGGCTTTCATCCCTCTAAATTAGAATCAGTATCGTGTCCTAGAGCACAATACAAAGGGGCATTGTATTATAGGAGTTGCTGCCTCCTAAGAGAGACAAAACAGAGACAGCAGCATGGGGTGGGGCAAATGGGAGCTTATACACATGGGAAGCCAGCTTTTAAGATGGCTCTCCACACATGCAGGCTCTGTAGAGCCACCTCCCCTTCCCTTTCAGCCTCCCACAGAGGCAGCATGGGAGGGAGGACAGGCAGGAGCTGGTATCCGGGGGGAGCCAGCTTAAAAGACAGCTCTCCACAAGTACCAGCTTCACAGAGCTGCGCTCTCCCCACCCCATTGCTGCCTCTGTATCAGAGATAGCAGTGCGGGGGCGGGAAGGGCAGGAGGGATGAGGGAGCATCGGGGAGCCCAAGCCCACTTCTGACAGGGGCTGCTGTTGCGAAGCAGTCTGTCTGCAACAGGCCCAAGCTCCCTGCTGTATGAGCCGATACATGTGAGGGGCCAGCTTGAAAGCTAGTTTTCTGCATGTACCGACTCCTGCCTATCCCACACCCTGTGCGGTGTGGAAGTGGGAAGAGGGTAGGCAGATGCAGTGCTTGTGAAGAACCAGCGTTTAAGTCAGCTCCTGATGGGCACAGGCTCCCACCTCCCCCCACTTGCTGCCTTTGATAAAGTGGCAGAGGGGAGA